GACATGAGGGGGGCTGGAGGGGGAGCGTGGGGCTGCTCAGTGGCAGTGCCAGGTGGCCGTGCCAGCACTGCCCCAGAGCTGCCATCCTGCTCCAGGAGGGAGCCAAGTGGAGTCAGGGGGACCAGGGACACTGCTCTGTCCCCGCATCCCATGGTCGAGATGAGGTGTAGACAGAGGAGTTGTCCCTTCCCAGCACTGCCCTGTTACAGCCCAGCTGGACCAAGGAGGGGCTGGTGGGAAGGGAGGAAGATGATGATGTTGTTTCCTTTGAGTTGAGTGTTGGTGCAGGGTGGGCATGGTGCTGGTATGTGGTGTTGGTTGGGCTCCCTTGGGTGCTCAAAGCCCACAGAGAAAGGCAGGATGGATTCAGGGCTTGATTGGTGCTGCCCAGCACATCCCTGATTCATGTTCATTAGTAGGAATGAGTGCTGGGCTGATCAGCTTCCTAGGAGTGAGCTGGGGAAGGGAGCAATTTGGTATCACCTCTGTCCCCGAGAGGGGGTGACCCTCTGCTGAAAAAGGGCTGATCCTCAGGAGCACAGGGGGCCCTGTTGTCCCCAGGGTCACTGTGCCAGGCAGGAGGGGACCCAAGACCTGCTGGTGCTCGTGCCAGGGGTCCAGAGCAGGCATGGGAGAAGGACCAGTGTGTCCTGTCAGCTGCTGGTCCTTGGTGGGGGGACCCATGGGGTCAGGCCTCATGTCTCTGTCCCTGTCTCTTGTCTACTTGCTGGGGTTCACTGAGGATGAGGGGGGTTCTCACCCTCATCCCCCTCACCAGCAGCTGCCTGTCAGAGCCCTGCTCTTGGCAGACATTCTGGGATTCCACTGGGCTTAAAACTCCCTGTCCCTTCCCATCAAGAGGGATTTGAAGCTGGGGAGAGGGGGGCTTAGTTCCCAGCTCACCCATTATGCCCAGGAATTAGGGTCCATTACTGCTCTTTCAGTGAGACCAGCCCCCCCTGCCCTACATCTGCACCCCCTGCCCAGCACTAATGCACCGGGCTCAGCCCCAGCTCCTGGCAGCCCTTATGTAAATAAAGTGCAGGGGCAAAGATTTTGATCCCATTAGGCAGGATTAGTGCCTTGTGAGGCCCTGGCATTAAAATGTCATCTGTGGTGGGGGGAGAGAGCTGGAGTTGTCCCTTTTCCTGTCCCCCTTCCCTGTTACTGGCACCTGGCATCCCATTCACCCCATCCAGCACTGCTGGTAGCTTTGCTGGAGCAGCTCAGCCCCAGGGTCACTGGTGTGGGCAGGATGGGGATGGTTTGGTGGCACCTTTCTGCGTGGAGGGGACCACGCTGGGCTGGCATGGCACAGCATGGCATGACGTGGCACGACAAGGCCAGTGGCCCCGGGGAGCTCAGCCCTGGCCTGTGCCCCTGCCAGATGTGCAGATGTTCCCAGGGACGCCTCTCGCTGCCGCCTGTGTTTGGAAAGTGATGAATTTCTGCACCAACTAATTAGTCTCTAATTAGCAAGTGGAGTGTAAACAGTCACAACAGATGGGGGAGAGGCAGAATTAGCAGTAATGACCCTTCGTTTGGGGGGGATGTGGCTGTCACGCACTGGGAAGCCTCCTGCTGGGTCTGGGAGTGGGGGAGTTGCAGCCCCTGTTGGTGCTGGCTCTGTGGTGAGGACCCCTGTGCACCCCCAGATTTTAGGGGAGCCATGACCTGTCCTGCTGCTGGGGTGGTTGGAGAGAGAAGCTCCCCGTGGCCTGCTGGGAACAGAGCTGAGTTGCCAGAGAGGGAAACTAAGGCAGGGAGGCTGGAGGGTTGGGGTGGGGGTCTGGGGGGCTGCTCTGCATGAGGACCCCCCACCCTTCTCCCCTCTGTGCTGTGGCTCATCGTGGTGGGAGCTGTCAGGGAACTGGTGGGCAGGTGAATGCTGAGAACAGCCCCTCTTGTTCTCTCTGGAGACATTGGCACTAAATCAGCCACATTCCTCTCCCTGCCTTCCTCTGCTCCTCCTGCCACCCCTGGACCTGGGGTCAGGCTGGAGTCCAGAGCTTGGGGACACCCAGTGCTCCTGGGATCCTCAGCCCTACTGTGTCCCCTGTCTGCAGCAGGTTTGGTGTTCCCAGGGGAGCAGAGGAACCAGTGCCGGGGGGGGGATGGGACAGGGGAGCTGCTGGGCCCGAGGTGGCTGCGGTGACCTTGGCGGGTGGATAACGATCCCGCGATCAATAGCGGAATTAGGAGCCGCCTCTTCTCCTCTGCGCCGTTTTTCACCCCTTAATGCAGAACAGATGGCTCGGGTGCTTCAGAGCGAGATGAGCCTTAGCTGCTTAAAATCAAATTAGGATGTATGCAAACAGCATGTGGGCCCAGGGGAAGGTGTGCCAGGAGCACCCTAAACACCTCCCCGGTGGGGGGCTCAGCGTGGGGGATGCACTGAACACGCCAGGTCTCAGTCCAGGCTCTGCAGTGTGGTCGGTGTGTGCAGAGCCACCCCTGGTGCTGGGATCAGCTCAGTTTGCTGTGAGGTTCTCACTGCAGTGGTGCCTTGGCTGACCCTGGTCTGCCCCATGGCTCGTTTACTGGTTTGGTGCAGGAGGTGTTTGCCCTGGAGCTGGTGTCTGGCTGTGCCATGGCCCCAGCATGGGCTGTGGGAATCCCACAGGTCTCCAGCCCCTGGTGTTGCAGGTCAAGCTCCTGCTGTGCTGGGGTGGGGACAGAGTCATTGAATCACAGAATGGTTTGAGTTGGGAGGGACCTTAAAGCTCATCAGTTTGGCCCCAGTGCCCTACGCCTGCTTTGTGGGGCGTCCTGGGACCTGAGTCCAGCCCTCCTGGGGGCAGGGGCACCAGGATAAGCTGCTGAAGTTCAGACAGGAGGATTGAATCAAGGACCCACGAGCTGCTCT